AACATCTTTTTGTGCAATAAGAAAAACATTTTAACTTTTAAAATCCGAAGTAGGCGTCACATGATTAGAAACAGTAATTTTTTACTCTAAATGTCAAGGGAAAAGATAATGACCTTGACCTGACCTTGCTTCTAAAATAAAAAAGGTCAAATTCAATCTAACTTTTATCATTACTTAGTAATAATATCTTCTTGTATCTATGAAATTTCATTAATTTTCAAATATAAGAAATATAAGAATCCCTCCTTAGGAATGTTTTTAGCTTTTCGGGTGTTATTATAGTGTGTAAATCACACAGACTTGTCAAGTAGCATATTTAATAAATATATATATATATATATATATATATATATATATATATATATATATATATATATATATATATATATATATATATATATATATATATATATATATATATATATATATATATATATTTTAGGGATGTCAAATCGGTCAATATTTGATACTCGGTTACTCCGAAAATTTTCCGATCGAGTAGCCGGGTACTCGGAAAAAGTACATGTAAAAGTTTGTTGATTTAATTGAGACCTGTTTACTCCATCAATTTTTTTTTTCATTTATAAAGCATGTACATAAATATCGAGCCCAACGAAAACGATTTCTGGTACGTAATTTATGTATCAGACAAACACAAAATGACATGATCAATTAATACATCAATAATAACAAATGCTAAAATACAGTTCTTGGTAAGAAGACAGTTTGATCCGTTCAGTTCACCCAAAACAAAATATTGGTACATGGGGTACATTAACAAGATATATACAAAACTGGTCAGAGATACATAGGCCAATACTAAACCATAAACCAAAAAAAAAACAAAAAAAAAACCAACAACATCAACAAAAAAAAACAACAACAAAAAACAAAAAACAACAACAAAAAAAAAACATGACAGAAGATTGAGGAAATAAATAATTAATATCAGAGGGGGAAATATATCAAGGAGGACAGACAGCATCATTAATTTTTAAGATAAACTACATGGTTTTTTCAGCACTCTTTCGTTTTGAGTTTACATTAATTCCATGAATTTAATAACATTCGGTCTGTGGGAATAATAATTGCCCAAGTAATTTTATCTTACATTAGCTAAAGTTTTACATTCTAAGATATAATGAAATTCATCAGCAGTTTGAGTATTATTACAAAGTGTACATATTCTAGATATCACACAGAGTTATACCATACCATCTTCCAGTCTCTACTGGTAGATGTTGAAATTTTATAAATATTTTTTCTAAATTTAGGAGATAACTTATCAATGTAATTTTCAAATCCAAAGTTTTGTTAAAATATTGTGTAAACTTTTCCTTTTGAGGAATTATTTACATCACTACACCATTTTTGAATAAATTGATCTTGTAATATTTGTTTTACAGTAGCAGTTATCAACTTGTAATTCATATTGACACCCTGTTCGTACCATACATTCGATAAACCACACATATTACATATTTTCTGTATGCAATCTAATCATGGGTTTGTTAAATTTCCAACACAGTACAGTTTTAAACATATGTTTGTATAAGACAAATACAATTTTATTTTGCGGGCCTGAAAAAAGCTTTGCACAATATGAAATCATTCTACAACATACCGAGATATACAGAGGAAAGCGACCTGTTTCACCATAGACCATGTACAATGACATGGAACTTTTCAAATTAAATACATGCTTTAAAAACTTCAAGTGCAAACGTTCAATAATTTCAAGATTTTCATATCCCCATACTTCAGAGCCATATAGTAAGACCGGTACTACAATCCTATCAAAAAGATCAAATTGACAGTCAACTGGTAATTTAAATTGTCTATTTTTTCTTATAATGCCATACATCGCTTTTCGTGCTTGTTTATATAAGTGGTTTTTTTTTTGTTTTACAAAAGGAACCTGTGCGTGAAAAAACAACGCCTAAATATTTAAATTCTTTAACATTTTCAATAACTAAGTTGTCGTAATAAAATATTCTTTTTAACAAAGGACCCTTTGAAAATACTAATATCTTTGTTTTTTCGACATTCACTTTTAACTTCCATTGTAAACAGTATGTCTGAAATTCGTTAATTGCACTTTGTAATTAATCGGCTGAATCAGCCATAATAACAGTTTCATCCGTTTAAAAAAGAACCAGGAGGTTAAAATACATTAATAATTCTTTCTCAATGGTACTTGAAATACTTTGTAAGCCTATTATATTCTTGTTGAGTAAAAAATCTTCAAGATCATTAATATACATTGAAAATAAAAATGGTAATAGATTTTCTCCCTGCCTTACTCCTACATTACAACTAAAAAATTCTGTGGACAAGCCATTCATTTTTACCATAGACTTAACACCTTTATACATATTTTAGATATATTGGAAACATTCGCCCTTTATTCCGCTAATATGTAACTGGGTCCAAAGCCCACTCCGTCATACAGTATCAAACGCTTGTTTAAAGTCAACAAAGGCACAGAATAATTTTTTCTTTCTTTGCATTAAAATATTTGATAGAAACTGTAATGTTAAAATATGATCTAGTGTAGTATAGTTTTTCCTGAATCCCGCTTGATTTTCTTTCAATAAATCAACTTCATTTGCATAATTTTCCAGTCTGCTATTTAGAATACATGTGAAGACTTTTCCTAAGCAGCTAAGTAAAGTTATAGGACGATAATTAAAATTTCATTAATTTCTAAATATAAAAAATATGGGAAGAATCCCTCCTTAGGAATGTTTTTAGCTTTTTGGGGGTTATTATAGTGTGTAAACCACACAGACTTGTCAAGTAGGCATATTTAATTTTATATATATATATATATATATATATATATATATATATATATATATATATATATATATATATATATATATATATATATATATATATATATATATATATATATATTAGGGATGTCAACGAGTACCCGGTTAACCGGGTACTCGATCAAACGTCCGAGTATCGAATACTAAAAATGGTACTCGGTTACTCGGATGTGTATTTTTTCTTATTTCAAAGTACAATTTTTTTTTTATCAAAAAATAACTTAAATATGCATGTGCGTGTCGTCATCTACACCTGTAAAACACCCGTTATCGCCTGTGGCTGTGTATATACAGTAAATAGTGACCAGTCACCCAGCTGTTCTCACCTATTGTAGTCCTTAATTTTTGGATGGCTTCAATGATTGTTTTCAGTGAACATCGATGGTCTATTATCTTCAAATCATTTTAAAGTTATTTAGTTAATATACGGCAGCAAAATCGAACATGCATAGAAATGCCGCTACCCACTTCAAAAGTGAAGAAATATTTTGAAATAACTAAAGATTCAAAAAATGTTGAAAGTCAGTATTCGCTGTAAGTTTAGTGTATGGGAAACAATCAACATATGAAATATTAGACTAGCGATCCACTTCTCTTTCGCTAGTCTAAACAACACAAACATGCTTAACAGATTGTCCTCCTTTTGGAGAAATAGATCCTAAACAAGAACTGTAAACAATTTGTAATTTTTGATGTACTAATTGTGTCTTTTGTGTTTGATAAATAAATTTAACACCAAAAAAATCGTTTCCGTTGAAAACACTGTTTATATATATTTATAAACGTGATAAAAACAGCTTTGGGGGTTTAACAGAGCTTAACGGGACTCAAGAAAACTAACACACTTGTATTTACATTTTTTTACCGAGTACCCGGGTACTCGATCGGAAAAACGTCCGAGTAACCGATTATCAAAAATTGACCGATTTGACATCCATAATATATATATATATATATACATGTATATATATATATATATATATATATATATATATATATATATATATATATATATATATATATATATATATATATATATATATTACCACTTATACGAGCCTGGTCTCGGATAAGTGAGTTTATTTCAGTAACCTAGTAATAGTTATCTATTCCGGATAAGTTACGTCATTCGGATAAATGTAAATTTTCACCCTTAGTCACAAGCTATTATTCCGGATAATTTAGATCCATTTGTATATAGTCTAATAATAAGCCTTTCTCGAAGAATCGATTAAACGGTAAGGTCATGGAAAATATTGATTGTTGATTGTGGGGCAGCCCTGTGGTAGCCCCAGCAAATTGATCACCGCGGCCAGAAGCGCCAAATTAAACAAGCAAAATAATATCTGTTGTTTGTTTGATTAATAGGGAATCTGCAATAAATTAGGGATGTCAAATCGGTCAAATTTGATACTCGGATACTCCGAAAATTTTCCGATCGAGTAGCCGGGTACTCCGAAAAAGTACATGTAAAAGTTTGTTGATTTAACTCAGACTTGTTTACTTCATCGATGTTTTTTTTTTTTCGTTTATAAAGCATGTACATAAATATCGAGCCCAACGAAAACGATTTCTGGTACGTTATTTATGTATATCAGACAAACACAAAAGACATGATCAAATTAATACATCAGTAATTATCAAATGCTAAAATACAGTTCTTGGTTAAGAAGACAGTTTGATCAACGGAAGAGAAGGACGCAATTAACTTTGTTATGATTAGACTAGCGAAAGAGAATATCTTTGGGAATGGCCGTTGTCGTAATTGCGACATTTATTTACATTTTCAAATGTTTCTCTGTGATAACTCTGAAAGCTAAGTATGTTGATTTCTCCATATTTACAACTTCACCCGTTATGCATAAATTATCCCACGTTTTCAACTGCCGTTGATGCTCTGGAAAACCCAACATACTGAAAAATGATTCCTTAAATTTACTATGCACGGGTGACTTTTAACATTTTTCTAATTTTCGGTTATTTTAAGATATTTCCTCGCTTTTGAATTGGTAGTGGTACATATTTCTATATACACTGTATGCCCGATTTCGCTACCGTATTCTAATTAAATAATCTATAAAATGGCATTCATATATTTCATAGTTGACTTAGTTTAAAAAAAAAACAAAAAATAATACTTAAGTAAGATAGTGAACGGATTAATATACTTAATAAGTATGCATCTTATGATACATATGAAAGTCTTTTTATCACATGCTTTGAATACGAATTCTTTGTTCATCAGTTTCTAGCATTGTGCACACTGCATTCCTCAGAGAATCCAAGTCAGCATCCCCAAACGCCTCAAAATGATGAATAATGTACTCATCACCTATCAAGATGTCATCATAAAACACTTTCAAGGAGTGATAAAATGATAAACATTTTGTTTTTAATATTCACAATTATATACAGAGAGAGAGAGAGAGAGATTACACACCTTTAGATGTTTGCTTCAATTCAAGATATAACAAACGATGGTTTTCCCCAAATTTCATGCAAAGAGTGGTCAGATTAATGGCGTTAACACGGATGAATAGCACTTGGAGATATACCAAATTTTTATGCAGAGAGTGGCTCAAAACAAGAAATTTTAGAAAATCCTCAGCACTGTGTAGAGATTCTTTATGTGTAACTTCAACACCTGTACAAAAAAGATATATTAGAAGGTTGATATCTAATAAATCCCATCGGTTCAGCTAACAAATACAGAAATGCTACAAAATTACCGAGAGCAAGATTTTTTAAATCTTGTAATTTATCCTCCCTGTTTATTTCTGTGGACAGTTCTGTGACGAATCTATTAAAATGAAAGAATTCTGCCGACTTTTTGAGTGCGGATAGTCCCGGCAATTCAATGCATTTTCTAACACCTGAGACGAAAATAGAAAGAAGACATACTTAAGAATACACACACACACATACACACAAACACACACACATATATAATTGCATGAAAACCTGTGTCATATTTCTAAATATCATTTGGTAAATTGCTAGTAACCTCTCAAAAAATATTGTTACAAGGTGTGTTGCCAGTAGGCTTAAATTCATCATTTATGAATACTCTTTCCAAAATGTTTAACATTGAGGACCATTAAGCAACGACTTAGGTTCTTTCTTTGTACATTCATGTAAAAGATGAAATGGTGTAGAACTTTCAAAAGTAACAAGATGTGTTTGCCCCCGTATGGCAACTTTTAGCAAAGGTTAAACTTTCTCAAATGCAAATCAAATATGTTGGTACCCAAAGTAAGGTCTTGTCCCGAGGAATATACCTGTGAAATATGAAAGCCCTAGCACCATTGAATAGATATGGAAAAGGTTAAAGTTTTTTCAAAAGTATGTCAAACATCAAGGTCGAGGTCAAATGGTCAAAATTAATGGTGCCCAAGGAAAGGCCTTTTCACAAGAAATACACAGGTGAAATATGAAAGCCGAAGCACCAATCGTTCAAAAGTTATGACCAAGGTTAAAGTTTTCCACAAGTAGGTCAAACTCCAAGGTCAAGGTCAAAGATGTTGGTATCAAAAGAAAGGTCTTGTCACAAGGATTACATATGTGAAGTATGAAAGCCCTAGCACCAACCGTTCAAAGGTTATGGCGAAGGTTAAAGTTTTCTAAAAGTAGGTCAAACTCTAAGGTCAAGGTCAAAGGGTCAAAGTTTTTGGTATCCAAAGAAAGGTCTTGTCACAAGGATTACACATGTGAAGTATGAAAACCTTAGCACCCATTGTTCAAAAGTTATGGCCAAGGTTAAAATTTGGTAATATTTTGCAAAACTGGGTCAAACTCAAAGGTCAAGGTCAAAAGGTCAAATATGGTGGTACCCAGAGAGAGGTCTTGTCACAAGGAATACACATGTGAAATATGAAAGCCTTAGCTCCAACCAATCAAAAGTTATGGGCAAGGTTAAAGTTTTTGCGGACAAACAGACAGACAGACGGACGGACAGGACAAAAACTATATACCCCCGAATCTTCGATACGGGGCATTAAAAGGGAACTTGCGTCCCGAAACTCTAAAGGGATCGTAAAATCAGAGCCTTATGTTCTTCATTTTTCAGGAAAATCCTTTTAACCTTAAATCTATACAAACCTCTCATGTCATCGTCTGCTACTGGCAGCAAGGGGCAATTTTCTTCTTTCTCTGTATTTGAGAAATTGACACAGTTGAAAAAGAATACTTTTTTCACAAATTGATTTACAAGATTATATCTATATCTGAGATCCACGGTTGATTTTGTAATATTTAGGTTTATTCAATTTGGATAACGGCAATGTTATATATTTACACTTTAAAACATTTTTGTGACCTCATCTTTTGTTTAACCTGGTCCAGTAAATTTCTTATTGTCCTACACTTCGTCCAAAAGTTACATGTAGACGTCTATAACATTCAACTTATTGGACAGCTACAGGCAACAATGGAATGAGAACAAAAGGGCAATGCAGATAAACAAACAACATTGAAAAACTTTGATAAATCAAACAATTTAATAAACCAATGTAGGAAAAAAAAACCCGGGTAAATCAATATTTACAATTTAATAAAATACTCCAATTGTCATTGGCAGTAATAATCCAGGTTGAACTGAATGTATCATGGGAAATGTTGAAGAAGAATCCGTGGCACCCATCTTAAATTTCATAAACTCACATTGATTGATCCACTGAATTGAATCAAGAATATTTGCAGAATCTTGGAAACATAAAAGACGAACCATATGCATTTGTTTCCTTACACTCATCTTTTGGCTTTTTACTGGGTTGAACATCAAATTTTTCTGCCTTTAACTAATTCGCCCACCAAACTTCAATTTATTCTCGGATGTAAGTCTATATTTTCGTGTGGTGGTATGTGGCCATTTTTTCTGTGAATAGTTTTTCGTCCACCCCGTGTTGTTTGAGCGAGTGTCTATCGTTGCTTTTAAGGAGTAAAATCTAGCTTCAAAACCAACCGATAAACTTTGTTCCGATTTATTGAGAAATAATTTCAAAATTTCACAGTAGAAAAAGCCAAGCTTAAAGAACGGTTGGAGTAAATTCCTTCAAATTCTGTCGTTTTGCACAATCGAGAAACTGTTTCTTGTAGACTTCAAAATTATACATATATCACAGGGCTTCGAGGGTGATAATTAAACAGCACTGAAAAGGATTTATTAAATCGAACAATTTAATACAAGTATTGTAAGAAATTAATATTTACAATTCAGCAAAACCCACCAATATGAAATTGGCATAAATAGTCCACGGTGAATTGAAGGTATCATAGGAAATATTGAAGGAGAATCCGTGGTACCGATCTGTTTCAAAAGTCACCGTTCATTATTTTTAATTTTACATTGATTGATACAATCATATGAATCAAGAACATTAACAAAACATTTGGGACACAAAAGATTAATTAGATGCCTGAGTTCCCTCATACTCACTCTTTCGAGTTTTTTGCTGGTTTGACCATTCATTTGTCTGCCATCAGCTATTCCGCTCATCAAATTTCAACGGGCTGTTAGCCTGTATTTTCGGTTGGTGATTTCTGGCAATTTTTCTTGTGAGTACGCAGTTGCACGTCTACTCCCACGTTATTTGAGAGAGGGACTGCATTTGTTCTTGAAGGGTACCGGTAGTAAAATCCCTTAAAGCTTGCGCACAATCGAGAAACTGTTTGTTGCAATTATCATTCTTATAATCAGCATTAATTTATTTCACCTTAAAAATTTCAAACTTTAAGAATGGTTCAAATCCTATGGTTTTTGCACAACTGAGAATCTGTTTCTTACAAACTTGGAAATATATCCGGATTTCACAGTTAGAAAAAACTTCAAACTTACGATTGCGTTTTGGTGAAAATATGAATCTGAAGATGTTACTGTTTTAAAATGTACGTCGTCATCCATGGTGTTTCGTTATAAAATGAATAAATTGAAAAAGGAAATTTAATAGAACTAACTTTTATACATGCCTAGTATACTTTAGAAATGTCGCAATGCGGATAAATACCACGTTAGGACTAAACAAAGTGTATTTGTCCATAAAAAAACAGTGGCTCGATGATTCCTATTATTGAAAAACTAGACACAGTAGTAAATTCAGAACTAGTTCTCTTTGGCCTAACTTAATAAACAGTGCTAGGTAAAGTTATCCAAGTAGAACGAGAAATTTTACCTGTTGTTGTCCAAGAAAATAACAATTGGAATGTTTGACATTGTTGAAAAGTTTTAAGTTAGTTATAAGCCTCAAACTGATCATTATGTCAGATATTAGACTAGACCGGATATCTGACATAATGAAACAGTTTTCAGCTTATAACCATTACATATAAAACAGTGGTTAGATGATTCCTATTATTGAAAAAAAAAAAAACTAGACACAGTAGTAAATTCAGAAACTTTTCTTAAGACTTACTTAATGGACAGTTCCAGGTAAAGTCATTCAATCAGTACGAGAAAAGTTTACCCCTAGATGTCCAATAAGTTAACAAAAGAAGTGTTCGACAATGGTGAAATGTTTTAAATAAATTATAAGCCTCATACTATATAATTCCATATACGTCAGTTAACTGTTTACTGCCTCTGCCAACTGCTCACTGCCACTGCTTGTAGAAGATATTGCCTATTGTGCGCATGCTCGAATTATCTCTATGATAGCAACAACATAACAATGATTTAAAAAATGAGAATTCATGAATTTTTAAACGGGGAATGCGGAGAAAGGATTATTTCTTTTTGAAACAAAAACTGTCAGGGAAAAAAGGAGGAGAGAATCCAAATCTCAGTTTATGTATACATGTATCTGTAGGTAAGGCTATTTCTATGGGGTATTCAAATACGCTAAATGCTTAATAGGATCATGGGTAAGATTTGCCATCTATTTATTCATGTAAGAAATAATACGGGAAAAAATCATACATACATTTTCCTAGGGTAAAATCTCGTGATATTTTTCAGTGTTTCTTATTCTCAAAATATTTCATAAATCAAAAGACATTTTACTTTATACTATTCAAAGTATTTGTGAATTTTCAAAAGTGTGTCTTATTCAAATCAATGGCTAATTTCAGACCTGTAAAAGCCAAAAGAAACCCAAGGGCCTTAACGGTCACCTGAGTATAACACAACAATTTAGAGGATCCCTATATAAAATAAACTGATAGATGAAGCTTTGTTGCCCAAAAGCAAGAGAAATAGGATGATAGGACCAAAGAAATAATTAGTCTAGTATTCAGTAACAACTCATAAATTAAATTCTAATATATCCCCCATTTATTAATATCACCATGCAGACTATTAACAAATTATTATAGTTATTCTGTACTACTTTTAACTCCATATTGTGACCTTTCACAATGGCCTCTCTTGGTCTTTGAAGAACATTTAAAGAGATAAGTTATTTTTTCTTATTTCTATTTATGTATTATTTACAAGTCTACCTGATCATTAAAACTATGAAAGTACTTTTTGTATTATACAATAATTTTTTTTTGCATAATTCTCTTATTCTATTAACTTTCAAATACATTATTTACAGTGATTAATTATCAAAAGTGAATGGCAAAGGGGAATAACTTCTCTCAGTAGAATACAAATTAATAGTGTCCTGGCCAGGACCAGAACACTTGACCAAATGGTCCTGATATTAAAATATTTGGTAAAAATAATTATCCTTGCTAAATTAAACTTTTATTCTGTTTGCCTTCGATATGCCAAGGAGCAGAGAAGATTTTCAAAGAAATAATGCATTTTCACTACAGCTTCAACTCAGTCCTACCCTAACACTATAACCCATGGACGTCCCAAGGTCATGAAATTCATTAGCTGCAGAACTGTAAATGTAGCTCTCTGCTTCAGAAAATTCGGACAGATAAAGCAGAGAGCTACAGATCCAAGCGTTGTAAAAACCTTCGATTTAAGCCGCCGCTTTTTTGTCGCTCACTTCGGGTATCATTTCTTGTGTTTTTTGCTTTCCCCCGCTTTAACAATGGTATCTGATAATTATCCATATATTTAACTCCTAATCTTGATACTTTATTCACCTTTTAACGGTCCCAAGCAGCCCTTTATGGGTTTTGAATGCCGGTTTGAAAAATTCCATTTCGACGTCCATGCCCATATTTTAGTGTCATCCTAAAATAACACGCCCGAGTTTTGTTTATCTCATTTCTGTATTCTTTTCAAAGAAATAAAGCACTTTCACAATATGATCTAGCCCCGCCCTAGCACCAGAACCCCTGACCCTGGGGCCATGAATTTCACAATTTTGGTAGAGGGCACAATGGTTATTACAATCATGCCAACAGTTTGGCTGCTTGATGTCCAGGAGTAAAGAAGATTGCATCAATTTTGGTGGTTTTAGCCCAACCCCCTCAGGCCATGAAATTCACAATTTTTGTTCCCCTTCACCCAAAGATGCTATATGCCAAAATTGGTTGAAATTGGTTTAGTGGTTCTAGAGAAGAAGTTGAAAATGTTCCAAAGTTAACGCGACAGATAAAAACGGATAGCAATAGGTAGTGTGACCGGAGTGACTCAGGTGACCTAATAAAGAGGGGAGGGGGTCCCTATAATTTTGCCAACATATACTATACAATGGTAAGAAAAGCTAATTTACGGTTGTGTGCGATGATTAATAACGTCTGTGACCTTTTTATTACTTGTCTAGAGATTTCTGTTGGGTTGCCCCCATCCTCCCATTCCAATGAATGCTACCTAGGAAAAATCATTTTTACATCTGGAGTAAAATATCTTGTGATTTTTGACGAGTACTGGAAAATAAAATGCTTAAAGGTTTTTATAAGACATTTTACCCAGTCAAACTTATTTGTGATTTTCCTCAGAATTTCTTATTATATTTCTTGTCGACTAGGGTCATCCAACATTCTATAGCATATGACCCCCAAACCCAGCCCGCCTTATGAATTGCCGTCATACATGTATAGGAAACTTATAGAGGATTTTCTTTTTTGATATTATGTTATTGAGAATACCCCTCCCTTTGTCAAAATAGATTTTGGATTATTTTACTAGTCAGGAAATATTAGAGTTTGGTTTTCAACAGATCTTCTTCCTCGTATTAACATTACCTGGTCCGCCTCTTGTTGCAATTTTGCATTCAAGCCTGCGTGTTAAGAATAACATAGCAAGCAATGCCGCCTATAAGCAATGGCAGTTAGCAGTTCGCAGTAAGCACAGATTGACCCTAACAACAGTTTCATCAAAAGTCGGTGGAGGGAGCAACTTCCCCCAAAAAATTCTGAAAATGTGACAAGCAAAAAAAAATCCTAATTAACTGTCCAAATCCTGGAAGTTGCAAGTGCTCAACCTTACAGCAACAAAAAGGGGGGGGATAGCATCTGAAAGATAATTTACCATAACAAAATACTCTATGTATATATGTATACTCTGCAAAAAAGCCCCCCCCCCCTTCCCGCGTTCTATGGGCCTGAAGCAGGTGCAGTTGCAGAAAGCAGTTGACAGTAAGCAGTTGGTTGTCTTAAGTGGAATTCCATATCAAAATATCAAATAAATTAATGTTTCAGATGTTACTCCTCGGCGCTTACGCGTCTCGGACCGTCCAAGAAATGAACAGTTTTCGGCGTTAGGCCATTACATATCACCTTAATTACCCAGCTAAATGCAGATAATTTTTCATCTTCTAAGCCAATTATATTGGCATACATGTTCATCTTCTGTAAGAGATTCATGGAGAGAACTGCCAACTTCTATACTAGTTCAAATAAACATCATAAATACCGAAATTCTAACCACTTTTAACAAGTTTTGGTATATTTTCTCATGACAGTATAGAAATATAATGTAACATTGATAAGCACACACACACATGAACGAAGAACTTGGATATTTCATGAACATTGGGGGGGGGGGGGGATCCTCTGAATATTACAATTACTGAGGCAGAAAATGTTACCTAATTTTAACAAACTATTAAAACGCTTTTCAATTTTAATAGAATTTTGAAGATTATATTATGAATATTCACTTCATAACATGTAGAAGTAATAACACACATGTAATATTTTCATTCCTATTTAAAAATGATGTCACCTACCTCCTTTATTCCTTCTCTTCCTTTTCTGTTCATTTCTAACGTAGATTGTGATCAAGCTGATGGTGAGAATTAATATGATGCTCAACAAAGCTGCTACCGCGCCACAAATACCTATACATCTAAAAATGATAATTAATATGATTAAAAGAACTCTCAAATCATAACTTTTTAAAAAACATTTTATATAGGTTGAAAATTTAGTTAACTTGACTAACCAGTTAATCGTCCAGTCGTTCACCTCTAAATACGGGTAATTAACCATGCTAAATCTTGCAAATGTTTTTACATCAATTAAGTTTTTAAAAAAATCCCAACAAGCAATGAAATGTACAGTACTATGATGGATTCTACACTGACATGGAGATGTATAGGATATTTTCTCTGATCTGGAATTTTTTCACTAAAAACATATTACAATTGTCATATTGTAATTTTTGAATTTACTGGGTGGTAGTAAATACAAAAATTTTGTCATATTGTAATTTTTGTATTTACTACTACCCAGTTAATTAAAAAATTACAATATGACTCGATGCATCTTAATGTAGTTAAACATTGAAAATTTCGTGGTATGTATGGTATCTAGACAGACATCAAAGTTACTATTTTCTGAGATTCAGTGCTTTATTAAAAGAATATAATACTCAGCGGGTTATGGAATCAAAGGAGAAACGGTTCAATGGAATGTAAATATTGGTATTAATGTATGGTCGTCATCAACTAAAACGATAGGATATAAAATAATGATGAAAATAGACTGTCTATGTCTATTCAGAGTAAATAAAGAACTACACAGGTAGATCAGCTTGCATCTGTACTTCAATGTTTTTTATAATTCTTTTAAAGTTTTTTTTAATTTTTTTAAAACAAAATTATTAAAATATTATATAAAGCTGAGAAAGATTATTCTGTCAAATAAACCACAAAGGATATATGCTCACACATCATTCATATGTCATATGAATGCTACCAACATGTTGCTATGTAATCTACACTTATAAATATATAAATAAACCAAGTTTTGCAAAATTAATAAACTCCGAAAAGCCTGCTCCAAAGTTCATGCTTACTCCTCTAATAATATAGGTATACTCTATTTGGAGATGTTCGTAAAATTTACTTTATTTTCATAAATTTTATCAAAAGTCTACTTTTGTTGTGAAATAGCAAAGAAAAAAAAAACAAACAAACAAACAAACAAAAAAGCCCAGTAAGTTGGTGAACACGGTTTGGCGGATTTAAGTTCCTGGCAATTTCCAATGCTATGGTTTAAAATTTGATAAACCGTCAAGGGTGAATATTTCAAACCGAACTAATTTAAGTTGATATAAAAAAAAAAGAAGTAAATTGTGACAACTGATTGATAAAAAATTATATATTTTTTTGTTTTGCCTCGGAGTAGAAAGACATTCTTTCATTGGATAACAGACGTCACGTGCCTGTCTTCAATAATTCTTTCGGCGGCCGAGTTGCAAAATTTGGAAGGCAACATGATAAATAAAACGAAGTTTTGTCATCTATATTGCAAGGAAATGTGGACAGTAAGAAACCTAATAAATAACATTGTTTTGCCTCGGAGTAGAATGATGCTCTGTCATTGGATAACATGTCACATGATTTCATTGGGCGTAGCAAAATTTTGACAGCAAACGACGTTATGTCATCTAAATTAAGAAATTAAAGTGCAATTTTGCGCTTAATCCACTGTTCCTTCTGGCATTGCTGCGAGTAAATTTACCTTTTCAGAGACATACTCAGTTAACAAAAAAGTGAAGGAGGTTTGCACAGAAAAAATGCTTAATTGTAATTGAACTCGATAGGTTTGTTAACTTGTTATTGGTCCTCGACAAACAAAACATTTTTTAGCTTGTTACTAAAAATCGCGCCACAGAAAGTGCAAAGAAAGTCCATAGAAATATTACGGGTTGTTCAAGTTCATGAGCAGCTAGTATTTAAATTAGGTCGCTCACATGCAAAGAGAGAATTCGAATAATGAATACCGAGTATGTTATTTTTAAATATATTCAGTACATCCATGCATTCTACTTTTTCACATTTTACTAAAGACGTACGTTTTCTTAACACAATTGTGTTAGATATAGTACAAAAGCAAAATAAAATTGAAGGTGTAAAAAGCAAATATATTCAAACAAAACCAAAAAAACCCAAGCAAACAAACGGGAAAAAATAAAACAAAATATTTAATAAAATAAAGCGTGTATGTACTTCTGCACCTACAGTCACTACGGGATTTTGAACAAATGACAATTTGTTTGCACGGGTTTTTGTCTAGTGATAGGAAAAAGATAATCTAAGGAAAGCTTACGTGTTTTCTGTATCACAATCCCGATCATCAGACCTAATGCTGAATACAAATAAAGTTTTAGTAAAGCAATCATATAATAAATGCCTGTAAAAAGACATTTTTTCATAAAAGTAATTGTATTAATGACTTTAAAGTGACTGAGAAATTCAACCAAGATAACAAGAAGCTCATATGTCAAGCAACCACCTAAGACGTGGTACAGAACTTTTCCTGAGCTATATGATGCATGTTTGTTTTCCAGCTTGAAACCTGAAAATCCTAATGCTTCTTCTCTATCCAACTGTCGTGGTTTAGTCAAGTTTGAATTCACACTACATGAGAATAACTACATACACTGAACTTTAATTGAACAATTTGAAGTCTTGTTTCAAGAATATTTTTCATCATAAATTATTATAAATATTAAATACTATTAAAAGAGTTGACCACCCCTCTCCCTTACTTGATTCAGCACTGTCAACTGATATCTTGTGTAAATTTGAATAATATTAATACCGTATGATTTAGAAATCTTTAAGCTTTTGTTTTCTTTATTTAGTTTTGTAAAAAAGAAACCCTTACTTTGTGATCCAATAAACACCGTACATGTATACTGACATTCTTGAATGTACATAATATGTGTTCTTGGTATTTTCGACAGGAATATATATATATATATATATATATATATATATATATATATATATATATATATATATATATATATATATATATATATATATATATATATATATATATATACGAGGGGTGATCAAAAAGTTCGCGAACTAATTGAATAACTTCCTTAAAAGACATAAAATGAGGTTTCAGTGTTTAATAATTAAAGTAGTCCTCTCCGATTTAAATGCACATCTGCCATTGTTCTGCCCATGCGTGATCCAGGCAGTCACGTGACATGCTCCGTAGCAGTCTGTTCAAAGAAGCTAAGAGATTTTTCCGAGTCTTACATTTCTTACCATGCAAGTTATTTTTTTATAACAAGAACAGTCCATCTGTCAGAAATGGCCAAATGTCGGCAATAGGATGGGTGGATAAGGATATCCCTTCCCATAGTATGGTGACCCATCATAACCCGAGTTCTTTGTCTCGAGAGCGTCGTTTACCCAATGTGGATTAAGTATGGGCGCATTCTTTTTATCACATATCATATGTTTAAAGTCTAAAGTAAACGATATTTTTGGGATTTAATGATTATAGTATTGTTAAGATATTCAACCATTTTTCTAATTGTAACTTGACGATGTTTCATAACAAATTGCTCAGCTAAGGACACATCTTTTCCCCGGCTTGCTTTCGCTGGGCAACATAACAAACATCATTTTTAACCATCTCCCTGCCTTCACTGAAACAATCAATCCAATTAATGATTGAACGTCTGGTAAGTCTTTTGTCTTCGTAAACCTTGTACAAATTATCATCTTCTGCTGCAAAAGAATTTCTAAGATATACGTTAAACTTTACAGCCGTTCGTTGCTAGAGTGCGACTGAGTCAACCATTTTTCGTCACAAGTGACCTACATATTGACGTCATTTTCACATTGTGACGTCACAAATACGGAGCAAAACATTATTTAACATCTGTTATTTGTAAAACATGTGTATGACTATAACGTTATGTGTGCGAAATTTCATTCTGATCCGAATTGTGGTTTTGTAAATATAGAGATAGTTCGCGAACTTTTTGATCACCCCTCGTGTGTGTATATATATATATATATATATATATATATATATATATATATATATATATATATATATATATATATATATATATGTATGTATGTATGTATGTATGTACGGAAGCCCGTTGAGGCTAGTTCAGAGAAAGAAATATTTTTTATTGCGTTTAAACGCAATAAGTATTGCGTTTAAACGCAAACAATTGCGTTTAATCGCAGTAATCATTAGTTTAAACCATATTTTATTTGAAAAATACAAGCAGAAAATACAGATACAGATAAGTAGTACAGAAAAAAAAAAATCAAAAAGGATTCGGAAACAAGTTTGAAAACTTATACTAATCCGTTTCCTTATTATTATGATTAAGATGACAGACCCTTATTAGATAGTTACATAACACGGTTTGAAGCTGCTTAAAAACTAATATTTAAGAAATAAACAACAATGTTAAAAAGTTCTCTGGGAAATGAACTTGGTTGGTCACGTGATCAAATCCTGTGAAGCCCGAAGGGCTTCTCAGAAGATTTGATCACGTACCAACCAAGTTCATTTCCCAGTGAACTTTTTAACATTGTTGTTTATTACTTTTATTTACATTTGAGACGAATATTCTGAGTAGAACTGCATTTATTACACAAACGGCCCGCCGTATTGCTATGTTGTGACGCGCAATGACCTAGAAGCTGTTTGTTCTTCAGAGTTCGCCTCGCTCCAACATTTGAATATTTACATGGATGTTAAGCCGTCCAGTTCAGGAAATAACTGTTCGTAATGAAAAAACAATGATCGCTACTGAGAATAATCTTACTATTATTGTACTAGTTCTTTATATATGAAGTCAAAAGCGGTGCTATATCGTCTTCAGTTTACATACCTTCAAAGGAATTTCGGGTTAAAAAGGTAAGCGTGATTTTAGGCTAATTAGAAACATTCTTCACACCAAAGAAAGATCTAACAATCATTTGTTGAACGAAAAAAAAAATATGTTTCAATAATTTTATCTTTTTCATCGCTTTGACGGTTCAGAAGTTTTGAAACCAGTGTCACTGTGACAGAAATATGTAGACAAGATATCGTCTCGCTGTGTGATTCGGTCACGCCATGACCTCTGACCCCCTAATAAGTTCATACAGAATTGAACATATTTTCTCTTCTATAGGTTCATCTAAGAAAAATATTTGCAAATGTAAATAATTGAAAATGACATACATGTTACGTTAGAAATCATATCGATTCACACAAATGAATGACTTTCTAATTATACAGAAGAAGTCTAATGGATTTGTACAATATGTATGTATGAGAGAGAAAAAAACGACAGAATATGGTTGAATTTATAGGAAAAATAATAAAGAACAAATACAGGAGATTTACAGCAGTAACAGATATTAATTCAGAATTGAGAAGAAAAATAACAATGAGAAAAAATAAATAAAAATGACGCTTGCTACACACACTTAAGAGAATATACACAAGAACATACTCACGGGAGGAGGAGTAGTGAATAGATACTAAGGAAAAACTGATTAAATAAATCTCTTGGTTGCTACAATATATTTTTGGACAGATTTAAAGATTGCAACATTTTCTGCCAGTGGTAGATTTTGGTCACCAAATAATAATATATTTGTGTTGATGTAATGTGGAAGTGTATATAAATCTATCTCTGAGATTTTCAAAATAAGGACAATGTAGGAGGAAATGTTCAGAAGTTTCAATCTCGCCACAATTACAGTTTGGGCTGCTGACAATATTTCGAGAAAATAAATGACTTTTTAGTGAGCTACAATCAAGTCGTAGTCTTGTGTGTAATATCTGTTCCTTGCGTTTACCAGTATAATAATATTGAGGGGGTTTACGATTTGCATTGTTGGCATTTAAATAACGTTTTAAATTTGACAACGAAGGGTTTTGTTTGATAGAATCGGGCAATTCGTTCCAGAGCTTGATAGTTGATGGGATGAAGGAGTTACTATAGTGGTCAGTTCTATACATTTGACTTGCTTGATGTTACACTTTTGTCTAGTGGAATGATTGTGTATATCTTGATTTTGTGGTGGGACTAGATCCGAAAGGTATTGAGGAGTTTGGTTGTAGAACATTTTGTGGAACTGTATAATTTTATGTTTATATCTCCTATCTTTTAAAGATTCCCAACCGGTCTCCTGATAAAGACTATGAAGACTTGCAAGTTTCGTAGAACCGGTTACTATGCGAGCGGCCTCAATATTGATATGTTCGATTTTATTGACAAGATCACTGGACATATTATCCCATATAACGTCACCATATTCGAGTAGCGGTCTAACGTAACAAAAATACAATTTTTCAAGCGATTTTCTATCAATAAAAAATTTAAGTTTTCTTAGTAGATGAAGACGTTGAGATGCTTTCAGAAGGGTTGATTGTATGTGCAAATCCCAATGGCCATTTTTTGAAAAATGTATTCCAAGGTGTTTGTGACTTTCCACATTTTCGATTAATTGGCTATTCAGATAAAGCGGGGGATGTGTGATTGGAATGCGTTTATTGCTAAATAATAAACATTCGGTTTTTGAGGGGTTGAAATCGACCAACCACTGCTTAGCCCACGCACTTATCTTATCAAGGTCATTGTTTAATATCTGACTGGCTGTGCAAGCATTATCAACTACTATATACAGGGTTGTATCGTCTGCAAACAATTTAATTACACAATTAATTCCACATACAATATCATTTATGTAAATAAGAAATAACAGAGGACCAAGAATAGATCCCTGGGGTACACCAGCTTTGATGCTACCCCAGGCTGATGAGGTGGAGTTGAGTATTACTCTTTGCTCCCTATTTGTAAGATAACTTTTAAACCATTTAAGCAAATTCCCATTTATCCCTGCAGTTCTTAGTTTGAACAGGAGACCCTCATGCCATACTCTATCAAAGGCTTTACTTATATCACAAAAAACAGCTCTTACTTCTTTTCCGGAATCTAGTGCTTTGCCTATGTCATTAGATATATCAAGTAATTGATTTATTGTAGAGTCACCTGGAATAAAACCTGACTGGTTTGAACAAAAGAAATTATTGTTGGATAAGTATAGATATACACGATTGTAGATACATCTTTCCATTACCTTTCCGGTTATGGAGATAAGTGATATAGGTCTATAATTAGAAACATTATTCCTGTCACCTTTCTTATATATTGGGGTAACGTTTGCTCTTTTCCATTCCATCGGAAATACTGCTTTTTTAAGAGACATATTGAAAAGTTTACATAATGGTAATTTTAATATAGAAGCTGCCTCTTTAAGAAGACGGGGATTAATAAGATCTGGGCCTGTAGCTTTGGAAATATCTAATGATAGAAGAACTGT